ACTACTCGGGCATGCTACTGATCGCTCAGGCATGCTACTGGCACGATCCGAGACCTACTCTCCGCGGCACGAGCGACTGGCTCGACACCACGCGTGCTCTGACACTGGACAGCACTGCCGGGCGCTGTCGGAGGTTGCTGGGCGCGACTGGCGCCGACGCGCCTGCTAGGCGCGGGCACGGATAGGGGCATAACCTAACCTCTGTAGACGCGGCCCGGGCACGGCGTGCTGCATGCGCGGTTGGTGAACCTGACCGGTCCTTGCCGGACTTCCGACTACTTCTCTGGTGACAATAAACTCCATCCAACATAATATGATAAAAGACACATAAAAATGCCAAGAATCACTATAAGACCTCGGTTGGATTTTGACTTGGTCCAGTAGGGCCGATATGGCTCGTACGGACCCTAGGTCACCAAACAAACTTGCTCAACTTATAAAATCACTTAAGGCCAAATATTAAGCATAAAAGATCATGACTTTAAGGGCTGGGACAAAGGCTATAACTCGCATGCATAATAATTAGGCTTGGAGGTGAAAATATGCTCGATTTCCCTATCAACTTGGCCAAACCAATGAACTCAAAACATGTTTATCTTTTACCAATGTCATGAACATGATTTTTTAGGGATAATGAGCTATTAAAGTCGGCCTAAACATGCATGTACCATAAAATCTGAATTTAAGGCTCTAAACTTCAAAAATTTAAAACTCTATTATTTTGTACGTGCATGGCATCATTTTTGTACATGATAATTCCTAATTTATCATGTTAAAGCTGAGAAAAATGAAAAAAAGGAGTTTACCTTTCACCAAACTCGAAATGGTGCTAGGTCCCTATTCTCGTGCTCTACCCGCAGCTCTAATGATATGGCCCGACTTTGAAGGTCAAAGGCTGAGGATTATGATCTCAAGAGCATTATAAAATTCCAAATTAGACTTGAAAAATGAAAAGCCTCGAGAGACAGTGGTTGGAACAAGCTATGGCTCGAGATCTCCTTCACCCGAGGCTACACGCACGCGGCTTGCCTTGGGAGCCTTCCTCTCGGCCTTGCTCTTTTTTCTCTCAATATTGCTCAGGTTTTCTAAGTGTCAAAATGCTTAACACTCTACTGAGGATGAGTCTCATATAGGTGGTCATGGGCGGATTGACCAAGGCATGAAGTGGACCAAAGTGAAAGACCAACCCTTCCACATGCGCCTTGGACTTGATGGGAGCATCTTGCACGAGTTTTGTGGCCATTTTGGTGGACTTTCAGAGCAATATGGGTGAAGAGAGAGGTCTGGTCAGACTGGTGGCACATGAGGGGACAATGCCTTACATGTCCGATTAAAATAATCACTTGCCCATCATGCACTTGAGAGCTAATTGCTTTGACTTTCCTTAAACCTTATTAGGTCCAACTTAAGTTGAATTAATCCCTCTTAAACTCCAGCTTACTCGCATGATATAGGGCCATAGGACTTGGGCCTAAAACTCGACACATTGGTCAAGGGATGTTGCTCGCGCATAGGCTGGGCGCGGCCTGCTGGGCGCGCGGCCCTTGCCCTGGGCGCGGGCTGAAAATGTCACCTTCTTGGGCCGGGCATGTAACACTCGATTAAGGCTGAAATAATGGCTTACCACACTTATAAAAATCCATGACATCTTGGCCATGATTTGGGCTCGAGTATGGACACTTGGGCGCGCATTCCTTGGCTCGACACTAAGGACTTGGACCGAGAGACTTGCTCGGTTCTTGGCTGAATAATGGCTAAACTATGAGCCCAAAAATACTTATAAAATATTCCATGCATGCTTGGCAATAGAATGAGCCTTCTCGGCACGGCTAGGCACGCGGCACTTGGGTGCGGGGACTTGAAACCATGCACGAGCTCGGTGCGGGGTTCTTCTTGGCCGAGAGATTTGGTTCTAGGGCTCGATAATGATCGACTCATACTTAGAAAAATTCTAAGTAAGGCTACAAGCGACTATGGCTTGATCGAGACTCGGGGCTACTAGGGTTCGAGACTTGGCTAGGCGCGAACTAGGTGCGATACTCGTGACCGAACATACTCGGTTCCGGACACGGCTTGACTTGGACGATTTATCGAAACATACTCGGTTTCGATTATTCGTCAACTTGAAATAATTAATCCCGACTGAATAATAATCTATTTGTAAAGAAAAAAGAAATAGACCGAAATTAATAACTGAAATTGAATAGCTAAATAACTGGGCTCGGAACTCAAGACGAGCAATATTAATAAAAGGAAATAGTTCAAACTTGGAACTGAAACAGTCGCTTTTATTAATACAGAACTGGGCTATTACACAGTCTACTCTTAAGTCCATTTTAGACTCAAGTAGAGACTTAGTCTTCTTGAATTGGAGTAAATTTTGTTAATTTTATATATTTTTGTCCATGTCATTTAAGACTTAGGTCCATTTACATTCCACGTAGGCAAAACTAGACTCAAAGCATTGCAGAAGCTCTAAGAGGTTCATTCCCCCCATCTGACAGTGCTTATGTGGTTTTCTATTTTATTTTAAGTTTTTTTTATTATTATTTTTCTTTCCATGTAAACAAGTTGCTACGCCATGATAGTAGAGGTGTCCAATGGTCGGGCCGATTCAGGACCCGGCCCGGCTTGCAGGATCGGCGGGTCTCAAATGTTGGGCCTGAAACTGGCCCGACAATATCTAAGGGCCTAGAGATGTTAAATGGTCCTTGGCCCGACGGGCTGGCCCGTTTAGCCCGGAAAAAAAAGAGGGTTAGGTCCTTTTATTAGTAGCCCGTTTAAATCAGGGCTTTTTGGGCCCGGACCGTTTAGCCCGAAGCCCGCTAGGGCTAGCCCGGAACTCGTTAGGGCTAGCCCGTTTAACTAGGGTTGGGCGGTGTAAATGTTTGCATCAAGTAAGTGATATGCTCTTAGATTCCTTGTATATTACATTTTTTATATTCCACCTCACATGTAAGTACGAATTGTAATGGATTATTATGATTTTGAAGATAATTATTAACAATATTGTTATTGTACTTCATATCAAAATATTTAAGCCAATCAGAACGACTAATAAGAAATACATGAAACATAGTGATAGACGGTAAATACTATATATCCGTTGAAAACATTTTTTAACTAGCCGTTGTTATTTTTTTTATATTTTTTACTCTTTTTATTTTTTATTTTTTATATATTATTATTATTATTATTATTATTATTATTATTATTATTATTATTATTATAGCCATAGCCCGCATAGCCCGTTTAGCCCGAAGCCCGCTAGAGTTAGGGTTAGGTCCTTTTTTTGGTAGTCCGTTTAAATCCGGGCTTTTTAGGCCCGGACCGTTTAACCCGAAACCCGCTAGGGCTAGCCCGTTTAACATCTCTATAAGGGCCGGTTCAAATGAACTGGCCCGACCCGGCATTTCATTGAACCGCCGATTTTTTATTTAAAAAGAAATAAAAAAATAAATCAACTACGACCCTCCTTCCAACCTGAAACCGGTGGGCCAAAAGAGAAAAGTTAAGACTCGGAACTGGTCCTTAAGGTCTAAGGATCCGTTTCAAAAATTGGTAAATCCGGGTCGGGTCGACCCTTGGCCATGTCTACACGTTAGATTAATTTGCCCCAATATTCAGTACGTGTGGGTCGTATTATAATACCAACGTCAATTTTAAATTTTCTTCATCGGATGGAACAAAATTGTGTTGAAATCTCAAATCATAACATCAAATGACGAAAAGTTTAATTTTGAGAGTGAATATGCCACTGCCTCGAAACCAACATAACTAAATTTGCCATCTTGCTGAGATATTCTCAAAGCGGCTTCATTTTTACATTTTCATTCTAACTAGTACAGTACATGTACGATGCACAGGACCATTTATTACTCACTTACTGTTTAAAAGGTATTTTTCTAGTTAAACTGTCTCATGTCATTAAAAATATCATAAAAATAAAATTTATTTGTCATTGAACACTTCATTTTGTACAACATTCTTAGTTTGACTCTTTCGCACGTAAAGTACTATATGGATGTTTGAATTTGATCTAAAATTACGTATTATTACTCATTAGTTAACAAATTATGTTTTTTTAAAAAAAAAATAAGAGATCTTATTTGTTGAACAAAATTCTAATAGATAAAAAATATATCGATACGATTTTGAATGTATATCCCTTCCAAATCTTAATTTTGTTTTAAAAGGTTGGAATAATTTGTTAGGAATTATACAACTATTTATTTCCTAAACTTGTATTTTCACGATTTTAAATTAATTTGTATTTACAATTATTCATAAATAATTGATAAAACTTTTGGTATAAGAATCTTGAAATTTGTTACAAATAAATGGGATTCAGATTTTGGTAAAGAAAAAATATAATACACAAAAATGGGATTCAAATTTTAGCATAAGAATCTGCAAGTTTGTTTAAAAAAAAAAAAGATTCAGATTTTGTTACAAAATATTCACATGTGTTTTTTCGAAATTTCCACTAATAGTAAGTCAACCATTATATTTTTCTGATCAAACTTTCTATTAATGTATTTTTCCAACAACCTTTTTTATTAGTATAGATTAGAGATGTAAACGAACCGAACGTTCGCGAATAAAAGCTCGTTCGTGTTCGACAACGGCTCGTTCGTTTGTCAATCGAGTCGAGTTCGAACAGAAAATTATGCTCGTTTAATAATTGAACGAACACGAGCTCGTTCGCGAACGTTGAATAATGTTCGGGAACATTAATTTCATACAATTTTGTTTTATTTTTTTATATATTTACATAATATCTTTAATAAAAAGCCTAAAATATAAAAATATTTTTATTTTCGAGTTCGAACGAGCAAATTTCGAGTTAATCAAACATGTTTAAAAAATTTATCTATTAAATTATTCGAACACGAACGAACTCGAACTTTGACGAACAATTAAACGAACGAACTCGAACACGAACATTGTTCGAACTTAAACGAACACGAGCTCTAACAGCCCAAGCTCGGTTAGTATAGANACAATGAGGGAGAGGAGAGGCTAAGCTATCATCCAAAATCTAATCCTCTCTCTTTCTCCACCCCACAATCACACCCCCAACAAAATTCTCCAAGGCCATAAACTTACCAATATCCCCCCATTTAATCATTTTCCTCAATTTTTGCTAAATCCCAAGAGCCAAACAACCACAAAAACATCAAATAGCTTCTTACTTAATTAACTCATCCAGCCTCTGCTTAAGCGGCAGCGCTGTGTAGCTTGATTTCTGCTCATACAAAAATGGCTTCTGCTGCTCTTTCATCTCCCCAGGTCCATAATCCATAATTCCAGCCGTAGATCTCTCTTTCCACACTCACATGGCTAAACTAAATACATATATTTACATGCTATAACTGCAGGTGGGCTGCAGCAAGGGGTTGTTTGAGTTTTCTGGTCTCCGCAGCTCGCCATCGCTTCTCCCTTTCTCCAGGAAATCGAACGAGGACTTCCTTTCCATTGTTTCCTTCCAAACTTGTGCTGTGAGTTCTTCTGGACTTACATGTTTCCTATATATACTAATATATTATTGTAAGAATATAGTAATTAACATGGCGTGTGTGATCTGTTTTGAAGCTGAACTATTGCAAGTTAAGAATGATGATGGTTTTAAGCTGAAGATCCGAAGCTTTTGTTATGATCCAGTTGTAGTAGAAACTAAAGTAGAATATGCAACATGAGAATGTTTTGGATTATGCTGGGTTTTAGTAGGTAGTTACTAGGGAAGTGGAATGTAAACATGTAATGAGCATTACAGGGATTTTGTTGTTTGTGGTTTCATCATATATATACAGATTGGTGGGAAGAAAAAGCAGAGAGGTGTGGTAAAGGCAGAGCTGAAGGTGGCGATCAATGGGTTCGGAAGGATCGGTCGCAACTTCCTGCGGTGCTGGCATGGGCGCAAGGGCTCCCCACTCGACGTTATTGCCATCAACGACACTGGAGGCGTGAAGCAGGCCTCTCACCTCCTCAAATACGATTCCACTCTCGGAATCTTCGAAGCCGACGTCAAGCCCGTCGGCACTGACGGCATCTCCGTCGACGGCAAGCTCATCCAGGTCGTCTCCGACCGCAACCCGGCCAACCTCCCCTGGAAGGAGTTGGGCGTCGATCTCGTGATCGAGGGGACTGGGGTTTTTGTGGACAGAGATGGTGCAGGGAAGCACATTGAGGCCGGGGCCAAGAAGGTTCTCATCACGGCCCCCGGGAAAGGTGACATCCCCACGTACGTCGTGGGCGTGAACGCAGACGATTACAACCCGGACGAGCCCATCATCAGCAACGCCTCTTGCACCACAAACTGCCTCGCCCCTTTCGTCAAGGTCCTCGACCAGAAATTCGGCATCATCAAAGGGACGATGACGACAACCCACTCCTACACGGGGGACCAGAGGCTCCTCGACGCCAGCCACCGAGACCTGCGCCGTGCTCGGGCTGCCGCTCTCAATATCGTGCCCACGTCCACAGGGGCGGCCAAAGCAGTCTCGCTCGTGCTCCCGCAGCTCAAAGGGAAGCTCAACGGGATTGCACTCCGCGTCCCGACACCCAACGTCTCCGTGGTCGACCTCGTAGTCCAGGTTCAGAACAAGACCTTTGCCGAGGAGGTCAATGCTGCCTTTCGCGAGGCTGCCGAAAAGGAGCTCGCTGGAATCCTGTCGGTGTGTGACGAGCCCCTCGTCTCTGTCGACTTTCGCTGCAGCGACGTGTCGTCCACGGTTGACTCTTCGTTGACCATGGTCATGGGGGATGACATGGTCAAGGTCATTGCCTGGTATGATAACGAGTGGGGATACTCACAGAGGGTGGTTGATCTTGCCCACATTGTTGCCAACAATTGGAAATGAGGATTATGAGAGGATGTGCTCGCCTGCCTTTTTTTATTTTCTTATTTATTTTTCCTTTCTTCTTTGCTTAGACCATGGGGAATTTGTAATCACCACTAAAACCACTTGTCTCCTTTTGCTCATCTTTATCTGCACACGTGTCTATTAATCTTTTTATTATTATTATAAAATTTTATTTTTTGGTTTTTTTCTACTAAATTGCTAATCCATAATTTTATCTGCACACACCATGGTTTTTTTTTTCATATGCACCTGTCAAAGATGTTAAATGAGTAATTTTTATAATGATTGTCCATTTAGTCATAAAGAACAATAAAGTTGGATATATTTTACACCATGTTTTATCGCGTTAATAATTTAATCGTTAAACCTCTCCCTATTAATCTTATTGTGGAAATTAATTAATATATTATCTCACTAAAACATTGAACTATTATAAATTTGATTTCAGTATATATATTTATTTTTTGATATATTAAAAAAATAACACTTTTAACGTATTTTTGTTAACCATATAATACTTAATTTATTATTTCATTACAAAATTTGTTACAATATAATGTCATTATATTTTTTTATAAAATTTCTTCTACTTATTTTTATTTTATGTAATGAAAGATATTTAATGCATGTTAATATTATTTACTAATGTTGTTAATTTAAATTACGTAAAAAAAATTTAAATAAAATATTGTGTATAAATATTTTACAAAATATATAAATATAGAATTAATTTTTTATAATAATTAAACAACTTTAATTTTGCAATATCTAAGAACTAAATTCCTTCTATAATCGAGAGATTTTTATAATTTGCATCATAAGCCTTGTTGTTATGCGATGTTTAACAACGATAATAACCCATAATTAATATGTAAAATGCGAAAAATTTGTATTAATGTAGAACTATTTTATATTACAAGACGTCGGTTTTTGTGTTAACCGATGTGTCTTTCGTGAGAGTATTCAATGTTTCAAAAAAGAGAGATCCCCTCGTACAATAATACATTCTGCTATTTATAGTAGCTTTGGTTTTGCCCAGTCGTACGAGATAGGTGTGATTGCATTTAATGCAAAGTAGCTTTTAGGAAACGGTTTGTCTGCTGATGAGCCCGCAATAATGATTGCATTTTGTGTTGTCAAGGTTCCGTTGCGTAGGTTCCTTGTCACCTGTTGTCGATCTCGGTTTTAAGATGGGACTTCGGTTAATTGTGAAGTCGGTTTATATCCAGATGTGAAATCGGTTCGGTGCTTAGCCCGTACCGAGTTGCTCCAAGTTAGTGATGTTGATTGATTTTTGGCGACGAGCCTTGATTAGCATTCATGAATTTTTGTCTTGAACCTGACTTATCATGTCGGTTGTCAACAGAGAGGCCCCCGATATTAGTAGGCATACGGGCAGTGATGGCTGCTGATGTCGTGTTTATGCATGCGAAATCCGACCTGAGTTTTCTGTTGATGTTCATTTTGATGTCTACTTGTTTTTCGACATTCGAACACTTGTGCAAATTTGGTTTATCTTCTCCTTAAGTTGAAACGGCGTAACGGTCACAGACAAAAGCGACAGTTACGAAAAGGCGTGCCCCTACTTAATGCGTATAACGGATATAAATAGCAGTCCCACGTGCATACCGCTGATTGGTCCATCTGTCTTAAAGGAGGGTAATGAATCGTTTCATCTGAAGAGACGCGTCCATTACACGCGCCCCTCTTCGGTCTCCAACGGTCAAAAAATTGGTCGTATAAATATTTTGAAATTTATTCTGCTTGGATTTTACTTTTGAACTCTTCGAACACACTAATTTTCAAGTTCTCTTGCTTTCGAATTTCTTTGTATTCATTCCTTGGCTTGGCGTGATCGATTAATTCCAGTGCACTGGTCATTTAGGGTTTGCAATTTTGCGATAAGATTTTATCTCAATTTCTCTTATTTTCCTTTGTGATTGAATAAATTCCTTTTGATTCTCCAACAAAAATGGTTTCTGAGAACGCTGATAAGGTGGCGTCGAGTAGTAGCGAGACGGTATCTGAAGGGATACTCGAGTTGGACTTAATGCACGAATATTATCGATGGGATCTGATATTTTTTTAACATCTTGTTACTAAGAGGAATAATATTAAGGGTGATCGGAAGGTAAAGGAGGACGTTGCCATCCGACAAGATTATTGGAGACGGCCCGCGCACCAGATGTTGAGGTGGATTTCCTTGGAGAATTAAGTATATTGACAGATGTCGATGTGGTGCTACTTTGGGAGCATATCCGAGTCCCGCCGTCGGTTAAGCTCTTTTCGCCATACCCGGGGGAAAGGATCACTTGCCCTCCCCCTATCTGTGTTGGTATTTTTGCTGAAAGTCTTAGGTCGGGGCTGAGATTCCCTCTTCCCAACATAATAACCGACTAGATTCGTGATTGGGAACTAAGTTTATGTCAGATCACCCCAAATAGCTGGAAAAGAATCATCGGGCTAATGATTTTGTTGAATGAAAGAGGTTGGGATTTTCCGTCGTTGGATGACATGAGGAGTCTGAGTAGGAGGGTGGCGGAGTTGTCTAGCTATTTATTTTATTTTTTATTTTTTATTTTTGCGGGCAAACCTCAGCCGGGATTTAAAATTAGCAATTTGATAACCGACATCCCCGATACTCTCCATGGCTTCCAGGAAGAGTGGTTATGGGTTGGAGGCGATTGCCAATCTTCCAACTTTTTAAGTGATCCTTTGGTGGATGGGATGTCTATTCCCATTCATATTACTTCTGAATACTGTAAGTCACACATAACTTTTCGAATTTTTTCGATAACTCGTTGTTTCTTGTACTAACAGGTTTGGCACCTTTCATATTTGTAGCTAAGAAAACAAAGGAGCCAAACTCAGTATTGAACTTAGGGAACATTTTTACGTTCAAGTTGGACCACGAGAATCGCAGTTTACCGAAGTCTTGTCAAGGATTCGAAACTTAAGCTTGTTGGTTTATCCCCAGGATTCGAAACTCGAGCTTGCTGGTTTATCTCCAGGAGTTTCAAATTCTTCTTTCAATCCAGGTATGATGAATTGTGTCTTTTGTATCTGTAGTTCTCATTTCGGCTTTCGATGACTTGTGAAATTTAATGGTATTTCATTTTGTCGTTTGCAGTTTACTATCTGTTGCTTGGCTATTTTGGAGTTAGGACAGTCCACGACTCAAAAGATTATCGACGCCGATTTCCGAATAAGGATCTTCGCACTAAGACCGGCAAAAACAAAGAACAATGATTAACAGAGATGGGCCGCAAACAGCTTGTGAAGGATTTTTTATAAGGTAAGGCTGGTAATAGTTCTGCCGACGTTTTAGCTGATGCAACGTCGAGGACGGTAGTTTGGACCTCGGGACCAAGTCCAATTACCGAGGAAGCCTTGAATCCAACCCCGGTCTTGAATGTAGATGCTATCAACCAGGCTGAGCTTGAGCCAGAGGGGGTCGCTGAAGACGTGCAACCCGATGTGCAAATAATCATTCCCAGTTTGGAAGAAGCCGAGGTGGGAGAAGTTGCGGAAAACCAACAAACACCACGGAGGAGGCGTTTGAGGAATAGACATGCCGAGAATCCTCTCATTAGTGACGAAGAGAGGACCAAGAAGAAACACAATGTGGGTCGTCGTGGAAAAGGGAAAGAACCTGTCATTGACAGGTCATTTTTGAAAATTGATAAAGAAAGGGTGGCTAATTTTAATCTTCCAAAAGGAACAATGGAGAATTGGTATTCGACATTCCAGTCTGTTGAAATTCCTAGAATTCTGAATAAGTCAGATCTTCCCAGTCATGTCATAGAAGCAGCTCGGGTTCCCATGATGGCTTGGGACTCGAGAACTGAGATGGGCGTGTCTTTTATGTCGAGCGTCCACACGCTCGGTTATGCGAAAACTTGCCTCCTCACATTGTTTTGCACGTTGATATTACTTTTTTGTGCTCTCACATTGTTTTGCAGGTTGATCGACATCTCTCCCTCCTCACAGCTCTGGGCAGACTCACCCCTAGAGACTGGACAGGCTGCATGCCGCCCCATCACTTTGTGACGTCTCCGTTGCCGCCTGTCCCCCTACACCCCAGAGCCGTTGTTTGGCTGAGATCCGACTCCCCATGGGTTAAGCTGAACACTGACGGGTCTTTCGGCCGACTCACCAGAGCTGTCGGAGGCGGGGGCCTGATTAAGAATCACAACGGATCTCTCATTACCGCCTTCCATGCCCCTCTTCAGGCCTCCGCGAGCTACGTCGTGGAGGTTCAGGCGTTTCAGATAGGTCTTCAGATTGCAGCCTCTATCACTACTCACATTTGGATTGAGTTGGATGTTTCCCCTGTCGCCACCCTCTTAACCTAGGGCCACCAAGATTCGTGGTAGATTCAGCTCCCGCTCATGCGCATCAGATCCACACTTAAGTCGGTTCGCTATCGGATCTCGCACATCTTCCGCGAGGGGAACCGATCCGCTGACTACCTAGCCAGTCTCGGTGCCTCCACTCTTCAGAGATGTACCTTCTACCAGGACAACGCCTCTCTCTGCCTTCGTACTCTTGTGCGGATGGAATAGGTTAGCTACCTCTTATTCAGATTCTTGTAGCTACTTTGTATCTTTTGTGTTTAGGCCCACTTTGTGGTGTAAACTGCTTGCCTAGGCATTTGTCAGCCCAGGTTCAGACTTTTCATCTTGGTTACTATTTTTTCCTTTTTGTCATTTTTTTTGTTTTTTTTTTGTTTTTTTTTTCGGCCCAATTAAGGTCTTGACTATATACTAATTGGGGGTCCGACCTTAATCCCCAACGCATTCAAGTGTTTTCTTCGTTAAAAGAAATCAAAAAGCATGAAAATTTGTCAAATATGATCTCAAAACATGTGATATGATTTGTCACATAAAATCTCGATGCATGCAAACTGTCATTTAAACTCATCACAGTTAGAAGAATTATAAATAGAGAGATTTATAATACTCCCTCCAGCTTTTTATAAACGTCGTTCTGTGCAAAAGCACAAGAATTAAGGATTCTTTTTTTGCCAGTTTTAGCCTTATTTAATGAGAATTAACATTAATTAGTTATTTTCTTTTGAGCTTTATTATGTTGTTTTAATGAAGAAAGACTAACACATTTATCAAAAAAGAATTCTCTCGTTTGGGAGCATAGGGTTTTTGGGCGATTATCTCGTCTGAGATCAATCTCTTCTTCTTCTCTCAATTGGGAGCGTGATTTCCCTTCCTTTTATTCTCTTTCGACTCTCCTTTTATTTTTCTGGTTATAGATGGCTCAAACACCTTGTGCTGGATGCGATGACGAGCTGGCAGACAGACTTAAGGATTTCTCATTTTCGGAGAAAGAGAGCTCGTTGATCGATATAGCAGATGTTGATATCAAATTCAGTGCTGACGAATGTGACAGCAGTCTCTTTGGCAAAATCATTGGCGACCGTACAGCGAGCTGGATTGGCATTAAACATACCATGACATCCATATGGAGGTTACAACACCAAATGGAGGTTAAGGGATTGGGTCATAATTTTTTCCAGTTTATATTTCATTCCAAAGAAGATCAAAGGAAAGTGGCAGCAGGAACCAATTGGAGCTTCGAAAACCAGTTCTTAGTCCTCCTGGAATGGCAAAAAGGCTTAACTAGTAAACACCAGGGATTCCAGGAAGTTAAAATCTGGGTGCAGGTGATGAACGTACCTCTCGACTGGTTAAGTGCGGAAGTTGGTTTAAAGATTGGAAAAGTGTTTAAATTGGTTAGTAATGTGGTGGTGGTCAGTGCTGGAAATCATGGAGAGCGCTTCCTTCGTCTGTTAGTCTCACTGAATCTGAATGAGCCTATTCCCAGATGTGCTCATATCCGTCTTGGGTACCAAGTAGTCAGTGTCTGTTTTAAATACGAAAAGCTCGTTAATCTCTGCTTTTATTGTGGCTTCATTGGACACTTGGACCGCAACTGTACCAAAAGGCTTGCAGACATTAGACTTAACTCATTAAATCAAGGCCAATACGGAGAGTGGGTTAAAGCCACAGATGGTCAGACCTAGACTGAAATTAGCACCTCTAACTCCAGACAAAATTCCTATGGCAACAAATCTCCCCCTTCCACAAACAGGTCAAATCCTCTCTCTTTTCACAAACCAGAAGATAGGCAACAAATCATCCCTGTTCCTTCAGAGGACACTCAACATGCCTCCAACTCTCAACCAGCCATGATTGATTCCAACTCACCTAAAGAAATAAATCCTCCTAAATCGCTGGCTCTCAATTCCAAGTCAGTCCAACCCAACCCTATCCCTCCTCCTCAAACAGCAGTTCCTCCTCAGGCACTTCAAGAAGTCTCTAAGATGATGGAGATAGACCCTAATGCTCTCCCTCTAATTGTGAGCCAAAATCGGAATTCAAATGACTGTCTGCCTGAATCCTCTGTCATTAAAGCTAAAAGATGGAAGAGGTCATCCCAGAAGGTAGGTAGACTGCAAAGAAGTCCCACTCCCATCATCATTGTTGAGCCAACCAAAGGTAACAAGAGAGGGAGATCAGAACCTGTGACTCAAGGGGCAGAAAGTGAAGAAAAACTGATGGTTCAAGCTTCTGGTAAAAAAATCAGAGTTGTTTTGGACAAGGTGGGGGATGCCAGCCTAGAGTGGCACCCAACTGATAAATGTTAGCTGCGGTGTGGAATTGTAGAGGGCTGGGTGGGCCCTCTACAATTTCCCAAATCAAAGAGACCAAGAGGTCTCACCATCCAAACTTTTTCTTTCTTTCAGAAACAAAAAAATCTAGTTCCTATGTACATACTATTAGTAGGAAATTAGGCTATGATGATAGGTTGGCTATAGTGGACCTACGAGGTCTGAGTCGTGGTTTAGTTCTATTTTGGCAAGCTGATGTGGAGATTATCTCTATAGTAACAAAAGAGTTCTATATTGCTGCAAATTACAAAGTGAACAATGTTGAGCAGGGTTGGGGTGTATTTGTATACATGAGCACTGATAGAGCTACCAGGGCATCCCAATGGCTGGTGTTATAGGCTGATAGACTTTCTTGGGGAGACACATGGTTCTTGATAGGTGACTGGAACGATCTGTGTTCTATGGAGGATAAGAAAGGGGGGAGGGTAAGGTCTGCCCGTAGTTTCGAGGCTTTCAATACTTTCATTGATAACATGGAAATGGATGAGATTAACATGAAGGGATACCAGTTTACTTGGGGTAACAACCGAGAAGCTGAGGGTTTTGTTGAAGAAAAGCTTGACAAAGCTTTTGGCTCTTCAGAATGGATACTCATTAATCCTAATGCTTCAGTCATCAACATTGCAAGAAGTGCCTCAGACCATGCCTTAATTCTTCTCAACTCAGGTTCCCAACCTTGCAGGCAGAAAAGAAGGTTTCTCTTTGATAGAAGGTGGACAGAGAGAGAGGATGCCTCAGAGGTGGTTCAAAAAGCATGGAGTTCTTATCACTCGGGTACTCCTTTTTATCGGCTGAAGGAGAAGGTGAAATGTACTAGAATGGCTTTATTGATCTGGAGCTCACAGTTCAAATCTCAAAACCAGACTAAAATCTCAGAGCTATCTAAGAAAATGGAGGAACTAAGATCTTCTGGGATTGGGGATAATTGGGAGGACTGGACAGCCAATCATATTGCTCTTGAACAAGCTCATACCTTTGAGGAAAAATTTTGGCAACAAAAAGCCAGACACAAATGGCTTAAGGAGGGTGACACAAACTCTAAATTCTTCCATGCATATACCATCCACAGAAGAAGGCAAAATGCCATTACAAGGCTCATTTCAGACATGGGCCATATTCTTTCTACTTCAGATGAGATTGAGGAGCACATCACTAGTTATTTCTCTACTCTTTTCACTTCAGAGGGCTCTTGGGGTGGAGATGCTATGCTCCATCTGATTCCAAACTCTATTTCTGAGGATATGAACCTGGAGCTTCTCAGACCCTTTGAAGCTGAGGAAATCAGAGCTGCTTTATTCAGCTTAAGCCCACATAAATCTCCAGGGGCAGATGGTATGACTCCATTTTTTTATCAACATTTCTGGAATATTGTGCACTCTGATGTAATTGAAGTTGTTCAAAGCTTTTCTGATTCTGGTCTTCTGCTGCAATATTGGAACCATACTTTGGTGACTTTGGTGCCTAAGTGTAACAACCCTAGTGCTTTAAATCATTACAGGCCTATTGCTTTATGTAGTGTAATTTATAAAATCCTGTCCAAATTGCTTGCTTTGAGACTGAAAAAGTGTCTAACTTCCTGCATCAGTACTTGTCAATCTGCTTTTATTCAGGGCAGGCAACTACTGGACAATGTAGTGCTTGCCCAAGAAGCTTTTCACTTTTTAAACCGGCACAGATCAGGAAGGAACTGTTTTATGGCATTAAAACTTGATTTGATGAAGGCATTCGACAGGGTAGAATGGATTTGTCTGGAAAAGATTATGCTGCAAATGGGATTTAGCCCTAATTTTGTGAAATTGCTGATGGTGTGTGTATCTACAACTTCATTCTCATTTTGCATTAATGGCTCTCTCAGTGGGACTATCTACCCTTCCAGAGGCATTAGGCAGGGGGACCCTCTGTCCCCCTACCTGTTCATCATAGTCACTGAGTTACTTTCAACTCTCATTACTGATGTTATGCAAAATTCAAAGTTAATTGGTCTGAAATTGTCTCAGAATGGTCCAGCATTATCCCACCTTCTTTTTGCTGATGATGCACTATTCTTTTGCAAAGCTGAAACCAATCAAGCCATGGTATTGATGAACTTACTTGAAAGATATAGGTTATTCACTGGTTAGAGGGTGAATTTGCAGAAATCTTCTATATTTTTCAGCAGGAACTCTTCTCCTACCCTTCAATCTCAAATCTGTTATGCTTTGCAAGGTATTCAACTCCACTCTTCCACTAGATATCTTGGGCTGCCACTTGGTATTGGGAAATCAAAAAAGGAAACCTTCTCTTATGTTCTTGAATCAGTCAAAGCAAAACTGGGGAGCTGGAAAAACAAGATGTTATCTACAGCAGGGAAAGAAATTCTAATTAAAGCTGTCATTGATTCCCTGCCAGTGTTTACAATGTCTTGCTTTCAGTTGCCTATCTCCATCTGCAAAGCTATCTCTAGCCTTAGTGCTCAGTTTTGGTGGAGTAAAGGGGAAACACAAGAGAAAGGTATTCATAGGAAGGCCTGGAAATATCTTACACTACCTAAGGCAGATGGTGGAATGGGATTCAAGACAGTGAGACTCTTCAATCAAGCTCTTATCTGCAAACAGTTATGGAGGCTGGTTACTGAACCTGATCTTCTCATCTCAAAAGTGTTGAAGGCTAGATACTTTCCTGACTGCAGTATCTTTGATGTGACTAAAACACAAAAAGGCTCTTGGCTTTGGCACACCTGGATAGATTGCTTACCGATTCTTGCAAAAGGATTGAGGACAGAGATTAGAAATGGTGCCCACACTAAAATCGAAGACTTCAACTGGATTCCTTCTCTCCAAGCACAAAGACCAAATTTGCTGAACATTGCTAGAGGACACATCACCTGGGTGAAGGAGCTTATGCTGGACAATGGGTCAGGATGGAACACATGGCTGGTACAACAACTCTTTAGCTCAGCAGAAAGCCAAGCAATTCTCAACATACAAACTCTCAACCCAAGACAGAATGACAGATTTTATTGGGGCCTAGACAAAAAAGGTCAGTTCTCTGTCTCTTCTACCTATTCCTATCTTATTAAGCAGCAGCTCCTGTTACTTGATATCCCTGGCACTAGCATGGACCTATCTGCAAGTAAAGCAGCAAGACTTAGAGGATGGGGTTTGAAGGTTAAAGGCACTATTAAACAGTTCATATGGAGGTGCTACTCTGGTTTGCTGCCAGTGAGTACAAATTTGCATAAGAAAGGGATTCAGGTGGATGCTTTATGTCCTTGCTGTGGTGAGGTACCAGAGACCATTGAGCATGTGTTGTTCCTCTGTCAGAGGGCTCAAACACTGTGGAAAACAGGACCTATAAACTGGGATGTGGCAGGCATGGAAAATTGCTCTTTCAAGGCTTGGTGGTGGGATATTTGCTCAATAGATACAAATCCAGTTGCCGAGGATAGAATTCAGTTATCTACATATTATGGTGGCTCTGGAAATCACGTAATCTATGGCTCTTCGAGAAGACACTTATGCCTATCCCGGTTGTGATCAAGATGGCTCATAAGGAATGGCTTGAATTTTCCAATCTGCGGGCTTGATGTAGCTTTCTGTTTTTTAGTTGCTTCGTTGTTTGTTTGTTTTTTATTTGGTCCTTTAGTCTTAGTAGTGGAGTTGGTTATATTGCTAGGCAGTTGATGCAGTGGTTAATATGGCTTTCTTCGGTTGTACATTGTTTTGGTTGTTTGAGTTCTAGGCCGTTTGTATGCGTGTCCTCCCAGTCTTTTATTCAGGCTTTGTATCTTTGTCTATGTTGATGTATTCGAACATTGTTCGCCTTCTGAGATTATAATACCTCTACCGTTTCGATAAAAAAAAATGAAGAAAGACTCTTCATCTTCTTAATATGGAGAGACATATGGAGAGATGGATAGGGACAAAAATGAAAAAATGTGAATAAAAAACCTAAACATCATTTATTTAACTAATTGTCAATAAAGTCAGAACGACATTTATAAAAAACAGGAGGGAGTATTAATTTAATGTTGGAATAAGATTGGAGCTTTATATGATACGGTTGGAAGTGAAAAACTGAAGTTTAACGCAGTGTTTGGTTCCGGGGAAAGGGAGGGGAGGGAAAGGGAGGTGAGAGAGTTTTTTAATTTTCCACTGTTTGGTTCAATTTTTTGTAGGGGAAGGGGTTAGGATTTTCCCTTCAAATCTCTCTTACAAGGGAAAATATCCTCCCCTCCAAAAAAGGAGGAATTTGGAGGGGAGGGAAAAATTTTAACAACAAATTACTCTTTTGACCTTATTATGTATATTATATTATTTTTTTGTTTCTTACATCATTAAGGATAAAACTGTCATTTCTACAAAATTTTCTATCTTCCATTTTTCTAACCAAACAAGGTTTACCATTTTCCCTCTCCTCACTTCCTACAAAACTAGCGCGTAGCCCGTGCGATGCACGGGATAATATATTTTTCTGGAATGTTTAACATGTGAAATATTAAAATTAATATAATTTATATATGTATAACAAAAATAAATGGATCAAAAAGAAGGTAAAAGAAATTATAAATTATTGAATACTTTCTTGTACATAACGTTTTTGGTTTGGGATAACGATTGTCCCTAGCTCTTGTTTTCAGTCATTGCGTAATAAACCATAACGTCATTGTTTCATAAGTATCTTATAAAACATTGCATCTATATATCATGAAATAAATGTTTTATAATAAATATATACCCAATAAATATATATCGCTTTAAGAAAATGTTTGCTAGAGAACCGGTCAACACCAGTCGGTCAGACTGGTACTAACGGTATGATTTTTTAAATAATTTTTGTTACGTTTAA